GATCACTATTCCCTTTGCCTCTCATTTGTCCGTGTGCTTATGTGACACAGAGCGCGCTATGCTTTGTGCATAAGAAAGATTTCATGAATGTAAGTATAGATTGGTCAGTGTCGTAAAGGTGTGCAGGGCATTCACCTCATGCTGTGGGGCAAAGATATTGCCAGCAGTCACAGATGGGTTACTAGCAGATGTTCCCCCCACCCCTGGAATCCTAAATTACAAGTCTGGAATTCTAAAACAGGGAAAAAGAAGAATTGTGTATTTTAAATGGGGATGGACACTTTTGAGTTGACTTGTGGGGGATTAAAGGGTTATTAACATTTTTTGTTTTTTAGAGAGAGCATGCATGCGCTTTTGCATGCACAAGTGGGGGTGCGGGGCAGAGGGAGAGAGAATCGTAAGCAGGCTCCACTTTCAGCATGGAATAATAGAAATCTATTATTTTACAACTTTAAAAATTATATAACAATGTAAAAAGTCTCCTGTTTCCTCCAACTGCAATTTCTGCTCTCAGAGGTAATCACTACTGTTAACAATTTGTTGTATACAAATTCATCCCTAGCTTATGATTTTTCAACTTTATGATGGTGCAAAAGTGATAGGCATTCCATGGAAACCGTACTTCGAATTTTGGGTTTCGATTTTTTCCTGGGCTAGTGATATGTGATATGATGCTCTGTCTTAATTAGCTGGGCAGTGGTAATGAGCCGCAGCTCCCAGTGAGACCTGTAATCCTGACGGTAAAGAACCAACACACTCACACCATTCTGTAACCATTTAGATGTTCAGTTTTTCACTTCCAGTACAGTATTCAGCAAACTACATGAGATATCCAACACTTTAGTATAAAATAGGCTTTGTGGTAGATGACTGTGCCCAAGTGAAGCTAATGTAGGTAGGTGTTTTGAGCACATTTAAGGTATGCTAGGCAAAGCTATGATGTTTGATTGGTTAGGTATATTCAGTGCATTTTCGACTTAACGCTATTTTCAACTTACGATGGGTTTATCTGATGTAAGCACATCCTAAGTGGAGGAAGATCTCTATATTTTTTTAACCTTACTAACATGTCATGGATGTCTTTCCATTTCATCTTTAGCTGAACCTCTTTAAAAATATTTAACAGTTTGAGGTATAATTTACAAACTATAAAATCCGTCCATTTAAATATATAATTCAGTGATAGTATTGAATTTACACATTTGTACAATTATCACTATAATCATATTTTAGGATACTTCTGCTACTTGAAAAAAGTTCCTTTGTGGCTGTTTGTGGTCACTCCCCAGCCCCAGTCATAGATAACTGTTTATCTGCTTTCTGTCTTTATAGTTACTCTTTTTTAGAAATTTAATATAAATGGAATCCTACAACATGCATTCTTTTGTGTCTGGCTTCTTTCATTTAGCATAATGTTTTTAAGGTTTATTCATGTTGTTGTACTTAACAGTTGGTGCCTTTTTCTTGCTGAGTACTATTCCATTGTATGGGTATACCACACTGATTAACCATTTGATTAAACTCTGGTGGACATTTGATTTGTTTCCAGTTTGGGGGTATTATGAATAATGCTGCTATGAATATTTACAAATAAATGTTTATGTTGACATATGTTTTTATTTTTCTTGGGTAAATGCTTAAGTAAAATTGCTTGGTTGTATGATAAGTTATACTTAAAAACTGCCAACCTGTTTTCCCCAAGTGGCTGTATTTTCCATTCCTGCCAGCAGTGTATGAGGTTTCCACTTTCTCCCGAATTTTCTAATGCTTAGTATTGTCAGTATTTTCCAATTGTGATTTAGTTTGCCTTTTCTTAATAACTAATGATGCTGAGTATATTTCCATGTACTTATTGAACATCTGTATGTCTTCTTGGGTGATGTGTATATTTAAATCTTTTGTCCATTTTGTAATTGGGTTGTTTTTCTTTTATTATTTCAGTTTTTAGAGTTCTTTATGTATTCTATACATAGGTCTATTATAAGATGTATGAATTGCAAATATTTTCTCCAATCTGTAGCTTATCTTTTCATTTTCTTATGGTTGCATTTGAAGAGCAAAATTGAAAAATCTTGATGAAGTCAAATATATCTGTTGTTTTTCTTTTATGAGTCTTGCTTTTAAAGAAATCTTTGTCTAACTCATGTCAGAAAAATTTTCACCTACAAGTTTTGTAGTTTTATTTTATTTTTTTATTTTTTTTAAAGATTTTATTTATTTATTTGACAGAGAGAGACACAGCGAGAGAGGGAACACAAGCAGGGGGCAGTGGGAGAGGGAGAAGCAGGCTCCCCACAGAGCAGGGAGCCCGATGTGGGGCTCGATCCCAGGACCCTGGGATCATGACCTGAGCTGAAGGCAGATGCTTAATGACTGAGCCACCCAGGCGCCCCTGTAGTTTTATATTTTACATTTGGAGATATGACACATTTTGAATTAATTTTAGTGTGCATGTGAGGTAAAAGTCTAGAAGTGTAAGTTTTTTTTTTTCTTGCATGTGAACATTTAGTTGTTCCAGCCCTATTATTGAACAGACTGTCCTTTTGCCATTGAATTGTCTTGGTGCCTTTATAAAAAATTAATCAACCATAAATGTTTGGGTTTATCTCTTATATTTCTGTTCTTTTCCATTTAATCTATAAATTTATCCTATGCCAATCCCACACTAATTATATAATGATAGTTTTATATAAAGTTGAAATCAGGCAGCTTAAGTTCTCCAACTTTGTTCTTTCTTTTCAAAAATGCTTAGGCTCTTCTGCATTCTTAACATTGCTACATAAATGTTAAGAGCAGCTTGTCAATTCGTAAACAATAGCAAAAAAATCCCAAATATCCAAAAACCTGCTGAAATTTTTATAGGGGTTGTGTAGAATCTGTAGATTAATTTGAGGATATTGCCATTTTCACAATGTTGAATTTTCCATTTCATGAATATAGCATATTTCTCCAATTTGTAGCTTCTTTTGTAGGAATGTTTTGTAATTATTAGGGCATTGGTTTTGAATTTCTTTTGATAAATTCATTCCTGAGGGTTTTTTTTTTTATGCTATTCTGAATGGAATTATTTCCTTAATTTCAGTTTTGATTTGTTAGTTGCTTGTATATAGAAATACAGTTAATTTTAATACGCTAATCTTGTATCCTGTGATCCTACTAAACTTGCTTATTACTTCTAGTAGCCTTTTTTTTTTTTTTTTTTGGTAGCTATTTTAGGATTTTCTGCATATGAGATCATGTTTTCAGCAAAAAAAGACACTTGATCTTCTTTCTTTCCAGTCTGTGTGCTTTAAATTTCTTTTCTTGCCTAATTGCATTGGCTGGAAACACTAGCTGCAGGTTGAATAGAAGTGGTGAAAGAGACATTTTTCTTTGTTTATAATAGGAGGGAATATTCATTTTATCATGAAGTGTAATGTTAGCTGTAGGTTTTTATAGATGCTCTTTATCAGGTGTGGAATTTCCCTTGTCTCTGGGTTTATTTGTTTTGTTTTTCTCTCTTTTTCTGCATCTGTTGAGAGGACCATTTGGTATTTGTGCTTTATTCTATTAATATGTATAATACATTAATTGATTTATGGATATAAAATCAACTTTGCATTCTTGGGATAACCCCACGTGGTCATAGTATATAATACATGTTTTGTAGTTAATATTGTATTAAGGATTTTTACACCTATTTTCATGGCAGATACTGGCCCATAGTGTTCTTTGCTTTTGCTGTCTTTGTTTAGCTTTGATATGAGAGTAGTGCTGGCCATGTAGAATTTGTTGGAAAATGTTCCCTCCTTCACTTTATCCTACACAAGTTTGTGAAGGAATGGAATTATTTCTTCCTTGAATGTTTAACAGAATTTGCCAGTGGAGCCATCTGGTCCTAGAGATTTTTGTTTTGTTTTATTTTGTATTTGTGGGAATGTTTTAAATACAATTTTGATTTTTCAAGAATAAATCCTTCTCAAAAATTAAATGTTTGATTTTTCAAGAATAAATAAATGTGGCTTTATTCACATTCCATAGCCCCCAAATGGTTGTTTTTGATTATTTTGTCCAGCTTGATACTTTTATTTTGCTAAAAGAATTTGCCACCTCCCTTCAGAGTACCACACTCAGAAGCTACTTCTCTACGTCTTTTTAATGGCTGTACAATATTCCATTTTGCAGATGTACCATAATCTAATAAAAAATAGTTTTGCCAAATTTTAAATATATTCTTAAATAGTGATACAGTTAAATTTAATCCACATATAACTTATGCTAGTAATTCACTAAAGTAGGTTCCTAGAAGTGAGTTGGCTGGGCAAAAGTTATGCACATTTTTATTTATTTATTTATTTTTTAAAGATTTTATTTATTTATTTGCCTGAGAGAGACAGCGAGAGCAGGAACACAAGCAGGGGGAGTGGGAGAGGGAGAAGCAGGCTTCCCGCCGAGCAGGGAGCCCGATGTGGGACTCGATCCCAGGACCCTGGGATCATGACCTGAGCCGAAGGCAGACGCTTAACGACTGAGCCACCCAGGTGCCCCAGTTATGCACATTTTTAATTTTAATAAATACTCTAAAGTTATTCTGGAAAATTTGTACCAAATTATTACACAGTTAGAATAATGTAAGAGAAGGTCCACTTCTCTCTGTCTGCCACTACTGTATACTGTTAATCTTATACATATTTGCCAATGTGAAAGGCAAAGATTGGTGTGTTTTTATTTGCATTAATTTAGTTAAGTGGAGTTGGGAATCTTTTTTTATGCTCTTTGACTATTTCTTTTTATTTTATGAAGTGACTTGCCATGTCCTTTGCTTGATTTACAATTAGATTGGTTGTCTTTGTCTTACTAATTTATAGGATCTTCTGTTATTTTAGTTATATGAAACTTCTTTCTGTTTTCTGTTGTAAATATTTATTCAATTTAGCCATTCACTTTTTTCTAGTCATAACTGTTTTCAGTCTTTTAAAAGCCTGTCTTGTAATTTATGTTTTTGTTTGTTTTTAAAACAGCAAGTTGTACAAGGGATTGATGTAAACCAAATCCGAGGGCTTGGGTTTGATGCCACGTGTTCTCTGGTGGTTTTGGATAAGCAGTTTCGTCCTTTACCAGTAAACCATGAAGGTAGGACCTTTCCACTTTCTTTCACTGATGGTGGGAGACTGGCTGGGCCCCAGGTGTAACATGAGGTCAGATGTCTCTTATTGCCAAGGGTGAGATTTAGTGGTGGAGCACGGAGGCCAGAATCATGTCCTGGAGGTTACCTGGTTGGAGAACTGTTGGTGGCAGTGCTGACATGGGGGCTGGATTAGGGAGAGACTTGGCTCACTAATGCACAGAGCCACAGTGGAGAGCTCACTGAAGGAAGGACATAGGTGAGCCAAGTCCATTTAAAGGAAATAGAATAAGGTAGACAGGACCATGCATCACACAGAAGCTGGAAACAGATTGGCCTCTTTGTTTTCAGTAGCCAGACCAAAGGACATTCCCACTTAATGACATTGTCCTAATAGAGACTTGTGAGTATAATAATGAGCTGTTCAAATGTATGTGCCACTTGGGTTCACCATCAGAAGTTTTTCATGGGTCAAGGTCTATCCCTCTTGGAAAATTTTAGCAAGTAGCACAACACTGAGGTTGCAAACCCAAAAGCCCATGGTAGTGGGTGGGTAATGAAAATGAGTAAAGTGGGACAGGTTTGAAAAAAAACCAATAGCACATGTGTGGAGATAAATTTCAACTCATTTTTAGCCTTTTCATGAGCAGAAGACATTTGGGAGTGGTGGAGAACACAGCACAGTGGAAATTGCATGTTCCATCTAAGGAGTGTGGCTCTAGGCATCGTCAGTGAGTTGTTGCCAAGATAGCCATTGCAAATGTCTTTTAGGCCAAGATTGTGTTTGAGAACCCTCCGCAGTGGACACTGCTGTCGCAGTGCCCTTCTTAACAGGTGGCTGTGGATACCAGGGTACACTGGGACACCATGGAACTGGAGTCAGGAACGTCCTGGATCTCAGCTCTGTTCATGCTGAGTCATGACACCTTGAGTGAGTCACTTTCCCTCTGCATTTTCTGAAAGAATTGGAATAATGAACCATAGCTTTGCTGTGAGGATTGAGAGCCTGACACCTGAATGCTCAGAAACATTTCTTCCATCCGATCATGAATTCCTAAAAAGAGAATGTGTCCCACTCACTTTTATGGACCTAATTCATAGAATAGTGATTTTTTTTTTAAGATTTTATTTATTTATTTGTGAGAGAGAGAATGAGAGAGAGCACATGAGAGGGGGGAGGGTCAGAGGGAGAAGCAGACTCCCTGCCGAGCAGGGAGCCCGATGCGGGACTTGATCCAGGGACTCCGGGATCATGACCTGAGCCGAAGGCAGTCGCTTAACCAACTGAGCCACCCAGGCGCCCCATAGAATAGTGATTTATATAAATTACATGTGCTGGAAAAAGTATGCAAGTGGATGAATGGTTAGAACACAGTGGTAAGGATGTCCATCTTTCTACACACACACACACACACACACACAGAGACTTTTCCCCCTTTTTGCCACATTTATTAGCACCTCCCATTGCCAAGCCCTGTCTCATTAAGTGTTGGGATGTCAAAGACAAACATGAACGTTCCCTGTTCTCAGTGGCTGATCACTGGCTCGCCTGGCATTGTTCTGGCCTAGGAGGGCAGAACAGCCCCAATCTGGGCCACTTCAGAAAGCACAGACCGAAGAAATGGGCCTGAGCTAGCAGACCTCAGCTTGCAGCAGCAATAAACACTCTCCAGGTATGAGATATGGCCAGCCATGGATCTGGCCCCTTGGGGAGGCTGTCAGCACTTCCTTGATTGACTTGCTTTCAGTTGTGACCAAATGATGGTCTCTTAGGGATGCCGTTGGATGAGTTCTCATTTGGGGTGGACTTTAGATGTTAACAGCCCTAGGTTCCAAGGGCTCTAACCTCTGATCTGCTAAAATGCATGGTTTTTAATTCTGGCTTTATATTAGAATCAACCTGGGATCTTTTAAAGTCCCCAATTCATGAGCCTTACCTCCAAGATTTGTATTCGCTTGGCTTGTGGTGAGAGGAGGGCATCAGTATTGTCAAAGTTTCTTCCATAGTTCTGGTGTGTGGAGAGAATCACTGGGTGCAGCTGAATGGGCAGCTAAGATACCAGGAACAAGAAAGAACACTTGAAGTGGAAGAGAAGAGTTCCTTGTTAAGCCTGCTTACATATGCACCCTCTCTGGGTGCCATCTTTTTTCTCATTGCAGGTGGAATTGCCTCCTGTTAACAGCCCTTCTATTAAAACGATAGTTAGGTTGCAACCCAAATTATAAGTGTTGAAATAATTTTACTCCACCAAAAAGGTTAAAATGTACCCATTCATCAAATGCATCCAGCAGCATGTGCCCCTTACCACCTTCTTGCCTTTCAACGGGTTCTATTAAGGTTAGATTTTATCTGAAATGGATTATCTTGTGCTAGAAAATGAAATTTGAATTTTAAAGGTGACTCAAAGGTTGTTTCAAGACTTCTTATGCCTGCATGGCAGTGAACAGCTCTTGGTTAACTGGAGTAATTGTGAGGAGCAGGCAGTGAGGTCAGGAAATTAACCAACACCATTTAAAGGCAAACCCACAACACTGGCAAAAATATAAAGATGGTAACAAAAAAAAGGAAAGGGAAAAAAACCCCAAGTAAATTAAGTACAGTAGTTTAAGAACATTAATCATGACTACATGATAAAATATTCTCATTTTAGCCTCTTCTTGTTTGATCTTCTTTCCTTTGGAGATTAGACAGCCCCCAGGTTGGACCGTGGAGCCAGTGCTGCCTGCTTCCAACTCTGTAATGCCCCCTAACTCACAGCACAACTCTGCTTGGGTCATCCCAGCCGCAGGAGCTCTTGGGAGCAAGAAGCAAGGGTGGTAATTCAGGGTCGGGGAGGGAGTTATCACTTAGGCTACTCTGCAATAGAAACCTAATATTGAGATGTTTTTGCTAATTCTTAGTGATTTCCCACAAGCATACCTCCTGTGAGACATTCAGAATGTTAATTGAATGAATACATGGATGAATAATCTGCCCATGGGTAAACTGACTATATAACCCAAATTCTGCTCTAGCAGTTGCTTTTTTTTTTTAAATTTTTTAAAAGATTTTATTTATTTATTTGACAGAGAGAGACACAGCGAGAGAGGGAACACAAGTAGGGGGAGTGGGAGAGGGAGAGCAGGCTCCCCACTGAGCAGGGAGCCCGATGTGGGCCTCGGATCCCAGGACCCTCGGATCATGACCTGAGCTGAAGGCAGCTGCTTAACGACTGAGCCACCCAGGCGCCCCTAGCAGTTGCTTTTAATTCTCTTAAAACATGACACTTTCTAAGGCCTGTGCTTTGTTTCACGTGCTGACCCTTTCATGTTAGAGCCTCCTTCCTCACCGTCTTCACCTGGCTGACCAGCGGCCAGTCATTTTCAGAACTAAATGAAAGCTTCCCTGCCTTCTGGAAGCTCTCTGTGCAGCCTCGGGCTCAGCTGTGCATAGCCGCCTCTGTGCTCCATGTCCCACTTCTGTTCTGACTGTTGACTTACCTGGGAGACTGGCTTTGTCCGTCCAGCCACATGCTGCATATAGGCAGGACTGTGGCATATTCCTCCCGGCATCCCAGCACCCTGCACTGTGCCTGGCAGGTAACAGGTGCTCAGTGAGAGATTAAATGAGCTTTCAGTGGAGTCCTTTATTTGTGATTTTCTATAAGAACTGGAAAATGATTAACTTCCTATTTTTTGTTCACAATGCGAATCATTAATAGATAATCTTCATATATATATGTAATAAGCTAATAGAGTCTCACAGTTTCATTGTGTGGTTCTGTGTTTTGAGAGCCTCTTCCTGTAGAGGCAGTAGGAGCTGGAAAGTCGTTCCAGTTGAAAGTTCAGTGACAGGTGTTTTTGTCTTGAAGCTGCTGCAGTTGCATTTATACAATATTTAGGAAGCAGTATTGACATTGTTCCCCCCTTTTTTTTTTTAGATTTATTTATTTGAGAGGGAGAGAGAGCACGTGGAGGGGAGAGGCAGAGGGAGAGGGGGAGAGAATCTTAAGCAGACTCTGTGCTGAGCGTGGAGCCCGTGGTGGGACTTGATCCCATGACCCTGAGATCATGAGCTGAGCCGAAACCAAGAGTCAGATGCTTAGCCAGCTGCTCCACCCAGGTGCCCTGATATTGTCCCCCTTAACACGCACACATACACACATGCATATGTATGCATGTGTGCACTTGTGTGTGTGTGTTTACCTACACAACCACAGTCTGATTCTGTGATGTTTCTGGGATGAGACCTGGACATCAATGTTTTTAAAACTACCCTGGGTGGTTCTAATGTACAAGGAGGGTTGAGATCCAAAACTTTAAGCAGTGATATTATACAGTATAATCACTCAGCTATTTAAAAATAAATCTTAGGGGCACCTGGGTGGCTCAAGTCATTAAGCATCTGCCTTCGGCTCGGGTCATGATCACAGGATCCTGGGATCGAGCCCCACATCGGGGTCCCTGCTCAACGGGGAGTCTCCTACTCCCTCTCCCTCTGTCCCTCCTCCCTGCTTGTGCGCTCTCTCTCTCTTGCTCACCCTCAAATAAATAAAATCTTAAAAAAGAAACCAAACAAATCTTAGATGTCTCTCTGGAAGGTTTCAGGTATTTCCTCTTATTTTCCAAGTATTACTGTTGTTTGAGGAGCTTCTGTGGGACCTGAACCCCCCCAGCAGGCAAAGCTGAGACTGAGTCCTTGCCTCATCATGGTGATGATGAACTGACTTCCATATTTTCTTAGGTTGGCATTTTTTTTTCTTTAAGTTTTAAAGATTCTTTTTCAGAGACATGGCAAAATAAGGAAAATAAAATACATAGCCTCTTGTGTACCCACTACTGAGGATAAAGAGATGAAAATTTGCCATCTTTACCACAGACTTTTTTTAAGGGAAGAACTACTTGAAGCTTTGGCTCATGTCCACACCCCCCCCCGCCCCCGCACCTGGCAGGTGACCAGGCTGCTGTAGTTGGTGTTCACAAACACGTTGTTGCTGTGCTTTCCCAACATATGTGTCTACCCTCAACAACAAACAATATATATGGTGTTTAAAAATATCCCAGCTGGTAGCATTATTCATGTTGATATGTGTAGCTTGAGTTTAAGTTTGTTGTACCAATTTATTTATCCATTCTCTCAGCACAGATCTGTTTCAAAGCACGCTATATGCTTTTCCAAGCTGTGAGATAGGAGGCATGTCTTAAATCTTGGAGTCAGTTTGTCATGGAAAACGACCCAGGTCAGAGAGTTGTTTTGAGGATTAAGTGAGATGCGAATAAAATGTTTAGCACAGGGCTTTGGGCACGTATACACACACATACACACACAGAGCTTTATAAACATTTGTTATTAGCAAAGATATATAATTGCTACAGCTCTTCTGCAATTGCAGAATAATGTGTGAAGGGCCTGGTTCAATTACTTTTGGGTCCCCTTTTATCTTTCCCTTTTATTATCTCCCAGTTTATTCATTTCTGCTCTCTGCATTTTGCCATCCAGGAAGCAGAGGACTGTAAAAAGAATATTGGCTTGCCCATTAGTACATGAGGAATTAATTGAGGCCGTGGAAGGGAGAAAGGGACAGTTTGTTCCTTTGTGGGCTGCAGGATGGTAGAGGTCGGATGTGAGGTGCCTTGTGCTCCCTTTCCAGCTGGTTTTAAATTCTGTTTCTTTTTTCTTCTTCTTGAGAGCCTACTATGTGATAGGTACTTGCCTTTATGCGCATTGCCTTGTTCGGTGAATGAAAAATCTCAATTAACCCTTAAATGCTATTAGGTGTTGTTATCCCTGTTTTCTAGGTAAGGACACTTAGGCTAAGAAAAATTTAATGACTCTTGTGATGTATCTCCACCTGTAACTGAAATAGTGCGCGTTCCCCATGAGGTCCGCCTGATCCCCAAACTGAAAATAATTCCATTGCTTCCCACTCCGAGAGAGGGGGATAAAGCAGCTAAGTTAACTGATTTTAATCAAAGTGACTAGAAGAAGTGGGGCTATAAGCAGATAAAAGCCATCGTATGGATGTAGTTGGCGTGTTATATTGGATATATTATTCTGTTGAAGTGTCTGTCCAGACAGCTCTAAAAAAGCCAACGTATTGTTTTAGGCTTACTTCATAGGCTCTTTTCCCGAAGATAGACCCAGAAAAGGTTTTCTGGAACAGAAGGGATAGGACAGGAGGGGAAGAAGTTGGGAGAGAATGAATGAGAATCTAATTAATCGGTAGATCTCAACCGGTTTTAATGTCGACATTTGACCCTGGGGTGACACTTAAAGGACACATCGCACCAAGGCAAATCCAAGGCTTGGGTGGAATGTACTAATTCATGTTGGTGGTAGCCCTCTCCCTTGCTGTTGCTGATGTATGAAATTATAGTAGTTGTGCAGATTGGTGCCCTTGGGATTCTGGAAGTGCCCCCTTGAAGGGGCACTTGAAGTAGAAGGCTAAGATTATGCGTGTGTCTTCCCCTCTCTCGTTTCTGCTAGGGGATCCCCGCCGAAATATCATCATGTGGCTGGACCACCGGGCGGTCAGTCAGGTCCACAGGATCAACGAAACCAAGCACAGTGTCCTGCGGTGTGTTGGCGGTGTGATGTCCGTGGAGATGCAGGCCCCGAAGCTTCTGTGGCTCAAGGAGGTGAGCGCCTAGGGTGCAGCGAGCATGCTAATCACAGCTGGGGATTCTGCTGATGTCGGATCCATCTGTACCAGGCACCGTGCTAAAGTCTGTTACGTTTGATTTTTCCCAGCAGCTCTCTGACGAAGGTTGATCCCAATTTATTGATTACGTTGCAGTTAAATCATTCCTGTTTTTAGGTGCTAACTTTAGGCAGGCACAGTGATAAGTGTTTGACACAGATTATCTTTTTGAATCCTAGCAGCCACCTTATGAAGGTAGGGGTTGTCTCTTTTTGCGGGGAGGGGGTGAGGGTTTTCTGTAGACAAGAAAACTAAAGCTAATAGAGATTAACCAACTCACCCAAAATGACATGATAAGTATGTGGCAGAGCCAGGGTTGGAACCTGAGACTGGTTGACTCCAAAATCAGTTCTCTTAATATCCAGGACTCTCCTGGAGTTCAGAGGCTGATTACCATTCAATAGAAAGTAGCAGAGCTGGGCTTTAAGTCCACATCTTCTGACCAGAACCTTCTTTCCCTGTGCACTTGTATCCCCCAAGGATTAATCTGACCTTGGTGGCATGTTGGGGTTTTTCATGTCACCTGAACTTGAGTTTTCATGTCCTTGAGTGATACGGTGATCTCTGGATGGAGCCCTTGCATGTGGTTCCTGTTTCCAGATGTTCAGATCCATTATGAACTGTGGATAATGGTGATGTCAGCTTCATGGTGCCCAGTAGGGATGGATGTGTGAGAAAGTTCAAGTCCTCTGGGAACCTCAGGGACTTGAAAATCCCTAGGTGGTCTGGTGAGGAGAGAATCCATCTAATTAGTAAGACCTGGCATGATTCATTTACTGGCTCTGGGGTTTCAGGTGATCTGAGTCTTCGATTACTCAAAATGTATATGGGGGTGAGGGGAGTGTAAGGGTGCTGAGGAGGTGTCCCTGGATTGCCACCCAGAGCAGAAGAGACAGAAGCAAAGAGGGCATCAGTAATCAAGGGAGGTTTGGCTTGTTACCTGGTTAGCATATTGAGCTGTTGTGTAAGCTTTAATTTGCAAAAAGCCTTCTATATTTATTAAGAGTCTGAAAACACAGAGCGTTTTAGGAGTCAGGGGTTTCTGACCCTACTGGCATCACCTTATGTGACTTTGAGCAAAGCATTTCTCATCCCAGGCCTCACTTTGTCCATCTATAAAGTGAGAGAGCTGGTCTGAACCAGTTTGAAAATGTGATATAAATATATCCTGAAATACCAATCAGAATATAGAACTACTCCACACTGCCCACACCTTCTGCTTTGTGTTCTGTAGACGTTAATTGATTTAATCTTAGCAAGCTCTGCCTGATAGACAGCATGGGAAACTGAGGCTGACAGAGATAGCAGTATGATTTTCCTAAACAGATGGCAGAGACAGAATTTAAACCCATGTCTGCTGGCCTTCAAATCCCAGCTCGCCCCATCATGTTATGCTGCACTGAAATCCCTCTTTAAAGTGTGTCACTTAGGGTAGGACCAGGAACAGGGGAAGTGGTGTTTTTAAACCAGGCTAAACACGCTGCAAGGAAACAGATGGGTTGGATACATCACACCCTTCTTGGCCACAGGTAAGGAAGAGCTGTACTGAAGTAAGGGAGGAGGATCAGGTAGGTGGTCATTGGTACATCCTCAGGGCCTTATTGAGCACCTGCTTCATGGCTGGCTTGGGGCTGTATATCCCAGGAGGTCTGAATACACATCTGGTGTGAACCTCTCTGGATGCTCAGCACTGTGTGCTTGAGATTAAACTGTACTAAATAAAGCACATAGAAAATAATTAGGTTCTAGATTGCATGGCAGTCAGTGATTATGACCTCCAGAGACTGACCATCCATCCATCTATCTAATCAGTTCCATTTCAGAGTTTTCTGAGAAAGGCCTGAAACATTATCTCATCGTGTATTTAACTACCTGATGGTTGAGCCTCAAATCGGTTTTTAAAATTTCTTAAATTTATTTTTATTTATTTATTTTTGGTAAACACATACAGGAATCCATGCTGAGAATTCCTTTGATTTTTATCATGATTGCAAATTCAAATAAAAGATATTGTCTAATACCAGTTTTAGCATTTTCTCCTTAAAGCCTGACTCAGATGGCTTATGACCCTTTTCTGACTTGAAGGTGTAAATGAATCATCTAGGGATCTTGTTAAATTGTAGATTTCTGATTTAGTACTCCTGGGGTAGGGACTGAGAATTGGCGTTTCTGACAAGCTTCCAGGCGATGCTGATGTTGCTGGCCCAGAGACTTATAAAACCACTTCTAGTTCGAGAAGCTCTGTGCTTTATATCCTGAAGAGCACCTATTTGTGGAGAATCAGGAGACGGTACCTTCTTTTGAATGGGGCTATGGGAGACTGGGGTACCAGGAAGTTAGATACTTTCAAAGAGTTGTTCAATAGCACATCAGAGTCAGAACGTGACTCTGTGCTAAGCTCATGGGGCTGTCATTTCTTTACTCCCTTATTTGCTCTTTAATTCACCAAATATTAACTGAGGTTCTGCTGTGACCCAGCAGTGTCACAGGCACTGGGGACACAAGCACGAAGAGCACTCAGGCTTACCCTTGAGGGGCCCAGTGTCCTCTGGGGCAGTGGTGGGGAAGCAAAGGGGGGGTTTGGGTGGAGGAAAGAGACACGGAACCAGAACTGTCCAAAGATGTTCTAAGCACCTTGATAAAGGAATATGCAAAGTGCTTTCAGAGAAAATAATTTGCTTCCGGGAGGAGTTCTTGAAGATGAGTCTCAAGATAGGAGTGGAGGTTTTGCCTAATAGAGAAGACAGGGAGGAAATTCTAGAGAAAGACTATGGTTCATTTTTGGTAAGGTACGTAGGTCCTGGGATGAGAGCCCAGGATGCTTCTCTGAGTGTAGTAGGAGATGAGGCCAGGTAAGTAGCCTGGGCTCAGTTTGTTAAGGGCTTATTTGGTGATAGATGGTTTTTAAGCAAGGGGGAGGGAATGTCTTAGATACCTTTGGCAGGGATGAAGAGACTGGATTAGGGGTGAGGAAATGTGTGTGTGTGGGAGTAAGAACCAGTTTTCATACTTTCCTGATTATAGCACTTTGTTGGCTTTGCTTTGCTCTTAGGATAAATTCCAAAATTTGTAACACAGCCCAGAAGATGGTATGTGATATCATTTTCACCTCCCCCTTTCTGCTTACTGTGTGTCCCTCACCTTGCTCACTCTATCCACTGGGACCCCATCAGGGTGTCTCAAACATGCTCTGTTCTTTGCCACCTCCATCTTGACTAGGGGTTGGCAAACTCCAGTGCATGGGCCACATCTGGCCTGCTGCTTGCTTGGGATGTTTTGGGAGCAAAGAATGGGTTTTACTTAAAATGGTTGAAAAAGGATTCAAAAGGAGAACGATGTTTTGTAACTTGTGAAAATTATGTGAAATTCAGATTTTCAGGGCCACAAAGTTTTATTGAAACACAGCCACACTCATTCATTTATGTTTTGTCTGTGGCTGCTTTTGCATCACATTTACACCTTCAAGACAAATGCATCACAGTGACAGAGCTGAGTAGTTGAGACAGAGACTGTGTGCCTACGAGGCTGAAAATATTTACTCTGTAGACCGTTAGAGAAAAGTTTGCTGACCCCTGGTCTTGGTGATGTGATGCTGTCCTTTCTGCCCCTGAATATTCTTCCCTCTACTCAACACCGATCCTAACTTATCATTCAGGTTTCAGCTTTACTGTTATGTCTTCAGCAAAGCCTTGCCTGACTCTCCAATAAATTAGAGATCTCTTTCCATTGCCCTCTTACTTCACTGTATCTTTCTTAAATTGTAGTGATGTATTATTTTGTATGATGATTTGCATGGTGCTTGGGTCTTCCCACCACTGTAATCCATGGGGGGGATGGAGAGCCTATCCGTTTTGTTCATGGCTGTTTCACTCTCCCTAATCAGCCTGCCGTATAGTAGGTAGTCAGTAAGTAGTTTCGAGTAGGGGCTCGGTAAGGGGCTTTTGCAGTCCCCCAGGTGAGAAGTCATGAGGCGTGAAGTAGGCACTGTGGGGTGGAGAAGAGATAGGTTCCAGAATTTTTAAAGCATACTATCAGCAGGATATGGAGGCCGATTGGCTATGAGAAGTGAGCGAGATGGCAGAGTCAGAGCTGACCACTCACTTTAGTACCGCTGTCATTCGTGGGCTCCTTATCCTTAGCCTGGAATCTGATGACATCGGGAGTCGGGCAGAATCTGGAGTTCAGACTTCCCAGAAGACCCAAGTGATAGACTAGGACCACCGCAGCTCTTGGGCAAAGTCACGCAGGTCCTGGTTCTGCAATGTGGAATTTTAATCATGTCCTTTACATTTAAAATTTGTGTGTTTCAGGTTGATGTATGTCTCCTTAATAAGAATTGTCAGATAAAAGGAGAAATGCCATTTGAATTTTTCATAACCCCCAGCAGTCTGGCTTTTCCATTTGGTCTCAATGATTCTGACTCTCATCTTAATGAAGGCCAAATGTAAATTAAGTTCTGTCAAGGCTGGAACAGCTGGAGTCTCCTATCTTTATAAACATGAAACATTGCAGGGTAACAGGGTGCAGACTGGGGAAGGTCAAGAGAGTTAAGGGCTGATGCCGATCCTGACAGCTCAGTGTTAATGGAAGATAATTAACTGGTGTGTAGGGGCTTCGTGGAGATCTTCCAATCCGACTTTTAACTCATTTCCTCTTTTTTGCCATTGTCAGCAGAACAGAAAGCTAATCATTTTATAGTTTGAGATTTTCATTGTTCTTTCCCAACTGGAACCAACTGGCTGGAATGTCCGAGGATTTTGTTGATGGGTTTAGAAGATCTGTCTGCCCCCGCCTCTCCCATCTCTCCCCAGTTCATGCCTCTGTGCGTCTGTTCCCCTGATAGCGTGCTGGGAAAATGAAGAAATGATTCTCTGGTTCTAATGTGCCTCTTGCTGTATATGTAGATTCTTTGGAGGAAGCTGGGAGTTGGGATGCCTA